TTTATGTTCTTTCTACGCACACGCGCACAAAAAAAAAAAAAAAAAACTTTGTCTTCTTTCTATTATTTTCTTCAGAAATGATAGAGACCCTCTCCAATCACTACCCCCACCACCCCATACACACGTGGTGGGTGGTGATTGAAAAAAAAAAAAAAAAAAAAAGGATACTGAATATCCCACATGGTCCCACGATAAACTAGAGAGAAAGCTTGTTATTTACGAAATCTACTTAGTTTTCGTTTAGCATTGACTTTTTTAGTTGATTTTTTTACATTATGATTATTTTAGCCTAACTTTTTTAGTTTCGTTTAATTTGACTTTTTAGTTTTTTTGACTTTTGTGAGAAAAAAGTATAATGATTATGATTTGAATGTGATATTTTATCTTATTAATTTATGTAATTAATTTTATGTTTTTGTACTTTTTTAACCAAAATTTTAAAACCAAACGAAGCTTTAATTGGGCTTCAATTGCAGCAAGTAAAGGCACCACTAACGTCGGGGATTATAGGGGTGTTCTATTCGAATTAAAAAAATATCTCAGTAGGTTTAATTTAAAATTTAGGGTAAATTATAAACATATCCTTAAGGTTTACTTAAATTATAAATTATCCTTTGTAATTTTAGAAATTACATTATGTTTCTTAATGTTTCTAATTTCATAACAAATACATCATTTTATTAATAAATCATCAAGTTAATTAATAGTTTTTAATAATGTTAAATTTTTATGTCAGTTAATAATTCAGATAATTTTATTATTGTCTAGGTGAATAATTAGAAATTTTACTTTTTCAATTAATTCTGTTAAATAAAAAATTCTGACAGGGAGGTATTTGTAATTTTTCAAACCACAAAGGCAATACGTATTTTAAGAAAACCTCAGGGGTGTATTTGTAATTTATCCTAAAATTTAAAATTTTTATTTTTATTATATTTTAATGTGAATTTACTAATAAAGGCAACACATTTTAAATCTTAAAATATTTTTTTTTATTATAGTACACCCTAATCAATTATACGTATTCTTCCTATTCAAATCTCTGCTTATTCTTCCCTAAATCAAAATTATTTTCTCTTCTTTTTCTTTCTCCTCACTCTAAAACTCTAATCCATCCCACCAAAACTCACCATTATTATCAACACCATTGTTTTTTATTATTTTGAGACCCTAAATCCTAAAAGAAAGTTTGAACAACATCAAACAATGGATGAGAGTAATAATTAAAACAATTTTTTGAAACAACCCATCAAATATGAGGTAAGTATTCATATAAAAATCAAAATACAATTATTAATTTCTATAATTTTTTTTGCATGTCCCACTAGTCACATTAGCCTTCATTGGAGTTACATGTGAAATATCCTTCATGAAAGAAACACATGTATAATTATAAAAAGTAACAACATATAGCATTAAATCTAACTAATTACACAGTAGAGATGCATTGATGAATTTGAATGACTGGTAATATAACCTAGAGACTTGGGTCGTTTGGAAACATGTTAATTTAGTAATTTTTTAATTATTTAATTAAAAAGGTAGGTAAAAAAAATTTAGAGTTGTTTTGAAAAGTTGGTAAAAAGCTGACTTTTGGCTTTTTACCAAGCTTTTTGGCTTTTTTAGAAGTGATTTGGGAAGTTGGTAAAAAGCTGACTTTTTGCTTTTTAGTTTAATATTTATTTATGGTGTCAAATCAAATTAAAATGACCAAAATACCCTTACCCAACATAAGAGAGTTATTTTTTTATTTATTTTTCATAGGCCCTAATTTGTAATTTTAGGGCTGCGTTTTTGGCACTTGCCAAATGGCTTTTTTTGCGTTTTTGGAAGCCACGTTTTTGAATATTTTGTCCAAAAACGTGGCTTTTTACCATGTTCCCAAAATGGCACTTATATGTTTGGGATGACTTTTTAGTTAATTACGAAAAGATGTGCAAAAAGTAAAGAGAAAAGAGAATCTTTGACTTTTTGGTATGAATTGTTACATTTTTAGCTAATTTAGTAACTTTTTGACTAATTGACTAAAAAAGTAAGTCCCCAAACGGGCCTAAGTGCCGTTTTGGAAACAAAATAAAAAATCACGTTTTTAGATAAAATCTCTAAAAATGCAAGTGCCAAAAAACGCAACAAAATTGGTTTGGAAAGTTCCAAAAACGCAAGTGTAAAATTACAAATTAGGGCCTATGACAAAAAAATAAAAAAATAAATTTTTTATGTTGGGTAAGGGTATTTTGATCATTTTAATTTGATTTAACACCATAAACAAATATTAAACTAAAAAGTCAAAAGTCAACTTTTTACCAACTTCCCAAATCACTTTCCAAAAATTAAAAAACTTGATAAAAAGTCAAAATTAACTTTTTACCAACTTTCCAAAACACTCCTAAGATAAACAAGGAACTTGGAGTTCTGCTTAACTTTATGTTCTTTCTACGCACACGCGCACAAAAAAAAAAAAAAAAAACTTTGTCTTCTTTCTATTATTTTCTTTTGCGGCAAATGTTTTCATTCACCAAAGATTCATTTCCGCTCTCCGTTTCCATCTACCATTGATAACGGAAAGTAAAGGTATATTTTTCAAATTATATTGATACAATTAAATATTGAAGACAAAAATAAAACAAGAAAAATGCTTGGGAGCACTAATTAGTGCTCCCACTAATTAGGTGGCAGTGGGTCTCGCCATTAATGATGTGATGTTTTGGTCTTGGAGTTGTGTTTTTTTTTTTTTTTTTACTTTTTTAATGCATTAGTGCTATTAGTGGTGATGTTTTTAGTGGGATGAATCATTGTTGATAAAACAAATCACCTACTTTTGATTTTTTTATTTTTTCATTTTTCTAATATGTAAATGTGATTTGATGAGAATATTTTTACTATATAAAGACTATTTAATAATGAAATTAATAAGTTAGGAACTAAATTAACATACTTGAAACATTAAATAAGGACTAAAATGACACGTAATGAACCTTTGTGACTTTGGCCAAGAAATGCAAACTTGAGCAGCTTGGTTCCATTTTTTTAAAAACACTTTTCAAAAAATTTTACGTTCTTATTTTTTATATTTTTTTTTAATTTTTACTAAATTTTTTAAATATTGTCAGTAATTTTTTTTTATTTTTTAGACACACCTAACATAAATACACCTAAAAAGTAAAAAAAAAAGTATAAAAAAAATCTTTTAAAAATTCCCTAAATATCAAAATAAAAAAAAAACAAGAATTCAGGACATTTTTTAAATATTTTTATGTATTTATTAATTTTTTAAAATATTTTTTCATAATTTTTACTTTTTAGATACATCTAAGTGAAGTGTATCTAAAAAAGTAAAAAAAAAAAAAATTAAAATTTAAAAAATATTCACTAAAAAAAAAATACAAAAATCTGAAAACTCAATTTTTAAAAAACTTAATCCAGTTATTGATTACATCAAAATATCTTTAATTATTAATAAACACTTTATTCATTTTAACTATTAATTTGTACAAATTGACCCATTCAACTGTGAAGAAGTGAAAAGAACACATTTTTCTAGTTGACAGGGTTAAAATATATAAATTTATAAATGAAAAAATAAAGTAACCAATAGTTGAAAAGATGTTGGTAACTGATATTTTTTTAAGAGAGATTGATGTGTAGGACTTAATAGGTGGACTTATTATTCAATAAGGCCTATGATAATTAATGATATTTTTTATTAAACACTATTAAAAATGGTCACTAATTGTTATTTTTTAGCGACTACTTGAAAATTGTCACAAAATATGCCACAAATCATAAGTTTTAGTGATAGTTTAAAAAATCATCACAAAAAAATGTCACTAATTTTTAATTCTCAAAGACAGTTTGAAAAATCTATCACGAAAAAAGTCACTAATTATAAGTTTTAGCAATAATTTATAAAACTGCAACAAAAAAAAGTCGATAATTGTTAATTTTTAGCGACATACAAAAAATAATCATAAAAAATTATTTTTAATGACGATTTGACTAAAATTTATTTTCAATAAAATTTAATAAAAATTAAATCTAACTATTAGGATTGATTAGTAATTTATTATTTTTTAAAAATACATCAAAGAGAATGGTAGAAAGATAATGATAGAAGAACTGTAAATTGTAATAATGTTAGTCACACACCCACTTCACTCATAATTAAACAAGTTAGCCAAAACATTGGACCCACCCACATGCATAAATTCTAGCAATGTATGACACCAAAATTGATTATATGGTGTCGTATGGAAAGGGACATAGAAGGGTCATAAGCATACAAACTTTCTAGATGCATGCATATTTTTAGGAATATGACATGTATATCCAGTATCGATACATAATTCATGACTCTCCCAACCATACAATCTCATCCAAATAAACATGTACAACATTTAATTTGCTTTCTAATCCCATTAGGGTTGTCATGTACATTTTTCAACACACAGACAATAAAATTGAGGGGACCATATATGACATGATAGAAACTTTCAAGATAATATGTATGATATGACCACCAGGGGTGGTGACATATTGATAAGGTGTGTTACATAGATTCTTATATTTACACTAGGTATTTTGTTTATTAGATATAATATAATTAAGAATGTTAGATATAACTTGATTGTTGCCTCGGTTAGTTTTGAGGTGATTTGTTTACTAAATGAGAATCTAATTAATCATTTTAACAGTCTTTGATTGTTATATATGAGTATCTAAAATAAGAACGAAGTGGGTGTTTGTTGTTCTAATCATTTGGGATCGTCTGATATTTTGGATACTTAGACCTTCTAATTTTATATGATATTCAACGAAAAAATGCACATTTTCACTAATAAAGAAACCTTTCACACTTCTCACATGAATGGAGTATATGTAATGGATATAATTGTTTAAGGCATTTTTCTATACTCGTATCTAACTTTTGAATTCATATGTTATATCTTAATATTTTGATTTAAAAATATCTAACTTTTGATACTCATACCTAAGTCCATATAATATGACAACGGCTTAGGAGGACACATGTTTTAATCTCTAAGACAACACTTGGGGTGAATGGACCACCAGCTTTGCCAATATGCATGCCCTCGATGGATTCATAATTTGTTTTTATCGAGCGCCTGCAAATTCGCAGCATAGGCCATCCTGTATAACTCCCCGTGGTAGGTTGGTTGTGTACAGTCAATTACAAGATTGCCTGGACAAAAATTTGCCTTCGCAAATATTTTATTTGTACCCTCCAACATTCTTAGATTCGTTCCCAACTTTAAGCTGTCTTCTATCATTTATAAGATTGCCTGCACACAAGGGTGATATCTACTCTCTCTCTCTCTCTCTCTCTACAAGCGTTCAAACTTCTATCAGCTAGCTCAAATTGCCAGATGTGTAGTTACTATTCCATTTATTACTATTGCAACTCTGCAAACCTCATCTCTTCCTTGTTTGAGCTTGCAACCATATATGCTCAATCCCTTAATCTCTTAAGCTCCAATCCAGACGTTGTTTTTAGATTTGATGACTGCTCTTTCTAAATCAAAACCAGTGGTGTCTATGGCACGGCTTGCTCAACTTCTTGAAGAGCGACAAGAGCCTTTTAAACTTGAAGTTTACCTCTCAGAAAGGAGATACACGAAGAAGAGCTTCGACAGAATAGGTAGTCGTAAGGTTAAGTGGAGAATTGCAATCCCAAATGGCTCAAAGATCCTGAAATCGGCTATCAACAAGCTTGTTTCCTACAAAAATTGCCAGAAAAGTGTGCATTGCAAAGATAGAGGCATACCAGCTTTTGGGAGGGGAAATAAACAGCAGCATAATTCAGTGAGAAATTTCGCATCCTTGGGTTTTCCTTTGCCTTGTCAGAGCACTTTTCAAGCCTCGAAACTCCACAACCTGAGAGATTTAGAGGTAGAAAACAGAACTTACTTTGAATTTACATGGTTGGTCACCAAGAAAACAAAACATTTCAAGTTTTACTTGATTTCTAGCTTTAAATAGTTCAAATCTACTTAAATATACTTGTATGAAGCTAGCTACAACAATGTTTAACAGGTAGCTACAAATACAAAAGACAGCAAACAGCTCAGCCCAGTGTCTGTACTAGAAGAACTGTCATCCAATGAAGGTTCTCCAGTTAATTTCTTATTTCAATGAATGTTAATTTATTTATTTATTTTTTTTTTTTTTAAATCTGAAATTTCTTCATTATGTAAAATGAAACCCTTCTTTCTGATAAAACAGCTCAACACTTTCTTGCAGCAAAAAAAGAAGAAATCAAACCAATTTCTGGTTTCAATTATCCAAGAAAAGCTAAATCAACATACCTCTGCGAATTCCTTATACAATCATTGACTGAGAAGCACAATTGTGTTAGCAAAACAGAATTACAAGATGTCAAGTACAGTTCAGATCAGCACTTGAAGCCCAAACAGGTCTCAATGCAAACGAAGCAGCTTTTGTTCAACTGTGTGACGGAAGCGATGGACACTTATGGAAAGCAAGGAAGGAGGCAGAGGAGTGGTAGAGAAGGCTTAGGACCGGAGGAGTTTGGAAAAGTAATTTGTGAGCAAATTTCCTTATTGGAAGAGCAATACGGAGATGTTAAATATATAAACCAATTGATAGATTTGAATGGCACGACAGAGGAATGGAGAAATTTCCAACGATGGAACAAGGAAATTGGAAAAGTTATAGCCGATGCTGTGTTGGATGATATTATCACAGAAACAATTAACTTTGAGGTATATGATAATTGAGCTATTCAGAGAGTCAGATTTACCTATTCTGTCCAATGATTTGTTTTGTCTTCTCTCTTGTTCTACACTATCATGAATTAAAAAGAAAAAAAGAGATCTATAAACTACCAAAATTTCCAATTTTCCAAATTAATGCATTAGTTTAACAGCTTCATCAAGTTCAGCAAAGTTAATTAAATTTTAAAAGTGAATTGACATTAAATTTTTGAGACATAGTTCAAACCCATGACTGTGAGGTCATTCACGCCAAAATCAAGGTCTGCAAAATTCAGCTAGTGTGCCGTTTTACTACGTTTCTTATGCAAAAATTATATAAGTTTGATATGTGCACAGCGGAACTAAAAATAACTGCCATAATGCCTTTAGCTACAAACATAATCAGGCACACCAATACTATACTGTATTTATCACCAAGAGAGGAGAAAAATAATCATAGCTTTATTCTTTAGCAGTGTCAAACCAAAAAGACAAAAATAATTGTTAAAGGCTAATAGCCCAAGAAACACAAACCATTGTTCACACGTAAACAAGAAGAAATAACCCAGAGAGTCGGCCCAGGTGCTGAAGCGGCTTGCCTTGGGATAAACTGTAAATCTGGACATCCTAATTCAACTCCTCATGTTGCGCCCATCTTAATTGATATACATAGTTTGCATGAGACGGCTGGCAATCGGGATTTACTCTGAAAGGGTGAATCAATAGCTTGAGAGTTCCTCCTCCGAACATAAAAATAAACAAGAAGAAATTGTTCACATACAAACAAGGAGAAATCAAGAGACTGACCTTTCTCATTTTCATCAGTGTACCCAAAGCATGAAACAGTTGTATGAGGGAAAAAAATTATGTAAAAATATTTGTGTAAAACAAATATGGATTAAATATTTTTGTTTTGTTGCTAACTTGAGAAAAACAGACTTCTGACAAGGCGACCAAAAAGCCCAATACTCCAATTTTGACACAAACATTCACACAGGCATTTCATCAAACATTTGTGAGCATATTTTCCATCAGACTCAAACCAAGGATCTATAACAAGAAACCAACCATACTGATTTTTGGCTCAAAGTCCCCTAGATTTATGTGATTTTTTTATGTCATCCAATAAATTTCACTGTTTTTTTTTTTTTTTTTTTTCAATTCATATAACATAGTACTTGCAAATTTATACATACAAATGTAAACACGAGCAAAAGATAGGCACCACAAAATTTAGGATTGGGATTTTCTTGTGGGGTTATATTAATCTCTTGTCCGTATTTCCACAACCAAATCCACCTGTAAAACTTCTACAAATTTCTAGATCAGTCTCCCACTTTCTCTCTTCTCAATTAAAATCCACTCCTACTGCTGTAACCCATCATGCTCTCCCTCAACTTCAATCCAATTCTTCATCTACTCCTTCAATGGCCACCCTTTTCACTACTTCTTGTTCATTCTCTTCTTCTCCCTCATGGGTTCTCAAGAAAAACCCAAGCCCATCTTGTCTGCCTTCTCTTTCCAAACACCCATTTGGCCAAAACACTCAACTCTCATTTTCTCTCTTCTCCACCCCCAATTCCAAAAGACTTGTCAAGTTTTTGGTCAAAGCTGAGCAAGAAAATGAACCCTCTTCTTCTTCTTCCTCATCATCATCATCCTCTGTTGCTGTAGTTTCAGAAAAGCCTGAAATTGAGGATACCCAAAAGGGAGGTGTGTCTGGAGAGGATGAATTGAGGGAGTCAGAGGCTGAGGAGAGAGAGAAACAGCAAGAACTGGACTGGAAGACTGACGAGGAGTTCAAGAAATTCATGGGTAATCCTTCGATTGAGGCCGCGATTAAGCTTGAGAAGAAGAGGGCAGATAGGAAGCTCAAAGAGCTTGACAGAGAAAGCAGTGATAACCCAATTGTGGGGTTGTTTAACAAACTGGTTCGTGACAATTTGGCCAGAGAGAAAGAAATGTTGGAGCAAGCAGAGGAAACTTTCAAGGCTCTTGATCTTAACAAGGTGTTTGTTTCTCTCAATTGGGTTTATTGTTAATATATGACATGTATATCTGCATATGAGTGTGTACACATGTATGTATTTGTTTAAATGAGAAAAGCTAGAAAAATGTGTAATTCTTGTGAGGATTTTGAAATGGCAGTTGAGAAGCTGTTTCGGGTTTGATACATTTTTCGCAACAGATGTGAGGAGATTTGGAGATGGGGGAATTTTCATTGGAAATTTGAGGAAACCAGTTGAAGAAGCCATACCCAAATTGGAGCGAAAACTATCAGAAGCAGCAGGGACGGAGGTTGTGTTATGGCTCATGGAGGAAAAATCTAATGACATTACAAAACAGGTACTTGAAGATTAGGACATATCTAATTGTGTTATTTTTTTTGAAGATTGGAAATTGAAATGTGTTTGTATATGTGTTTTTTTATTTATTTAGTTGGAAATCACAACCTAATTTAAGTGATTCATTTCCTATAGACTGCACTTGTATCTCTATAATTTGTCCTTGATGACTAATATTACTAGCATCACAGAACTTCAAAAAAGTTTAAACAATTTATTGCATAGGCTAGAAGGATTAAAATCTAAGGGCCTATTTGGTTGTGATTCAGTTTTTTGTTTTCTGTTTTCAATTTCTGTATAACACAAAAAACTTGTTGGCGAATTGTTTCTGAAAACGATTTTCAGGGAAATTTTATGAAAACAATCCACTTTTAGGAAACACTGAGGTTGTTTTCAAATTATTGAGAACTATTTACTCACAAAAATGAAAAGGAGATGAAAGTGATGGGTGATTTTGAACTTTTGATTGTTTTGTTTTGTTTTCAAAAACATGAAAAATGAAGAGGGAAAAACTAAAACAGAACCATACAGGAGTAGTGTTGAAGGTTATTTTCTTGTAGTTTGGAACTATTCCCATGTAATTTTCAGATTATGACATCCTTTTTCTGTGTTTTATTTTATTGAAATTCATCTTTTATGATCCTATCATTTATAAATATTGTTTTTGAAGGTTTGTATGGTGCAACCCAAAGCAGAGATGGATCTCCAGTTTGAATCGACAAAGTTGAGCACTCCTTGGGGTTATGTTAGTGCAATAACTTTATGTGTTGCAACTTTTGGGACAATAGCTTTGATGAGTGGTTTCTTCCTCAAGCCTAATGCTACATTTGATGATTACGTATCTGACGTTGTGCCTCTCTTTGGCGGCTTCCTTTCCATCTTAGGAGTTTCTGAGGTATGCACATTTGCATTAGGTGGAGTTTGGCGATTGGTTTTTTAGTTTTTTTTAGAATCTTAAAAAGCTGATGCACTTGGTAGTTGCTAAAAAAGTTTTTTTTTTTGTCATTAGTGGGAAGTCAATTTTTTTATACTTTTTTAGTTGCTTTTTTAGCTCAAGACAAACAGGCTTTTGCGTTTTGCCTTAATAAGCAGCTTTTTAGCCCATGCTAAACAGGGCCTAAGTATGTCAAACTTGTCAGCTCACGAGTAGAAACTAGTTCTAAAGTCCTGAGGATAATTTTTATTACTCTATATAAGGTAAAGATGGGCGTGCATATGAATATTGCAAAGCTATTACATAAGCAAGGACTTGGCCAAAAACTTGTCAATTTGTGTCATAATGCTTCCAAGCAACTCGCATCCTTCGCATAATGAGTACTGGAAGGTTGTCTCTCGTGTTCTGAAGGTTTGTTATCATTTATGTTTTGCAGATAGCAACAAGGGTCACAGCAGCTCGATATGGTGTTAAACTCAGCCCATCTTTTCTTGTGCCATCTAATTGGACAGGATGCTTGGGAGTGATGAATAACTACGAGTCTCTGCTGCCAAATAAAAAGGCACTTTTTGATATTCCCGTGGCACGCACGGCTAGTGCATATCTAACATCTCTAGTACTTGCAATTGCTGCGTTTGTGGCCGATGGAAGCTTTAATGGTGGTGACAACGCCTTGTAAGTTTTCTTCAATGCCTTGTGAGATCAAAGTACTTCTTGTTAAAAACAAAGCCCAATTAGTACACACTGATGTGTATTTGGGAGGAGAAAAAATACAGTCATTGGTCTCTAGAAAGAGAATAGACGTAAAACCAATAATATAATGCTAATCTAAGAAGCACGGACACGGTCACGATGACACGGAAATTTTTCAAAAAATATAACACAACATGTGGTGGACACATCCAAAATATATAATTTTATATAATTATTATATCATGTCATGTATATGAATATTTAACTCATATATAATAACTTTTTGGAATCTAGAGGAGAATATATATAAATTTACATTGTTTTTATTTTATCATTGAATTCTAATGTTTTTTTATTCAAAATTGGAATATATTTCTTGTGTGGCCAAATGTTGAAAGTGTTCAACAAATGCCCTATTGGACATGACACGTTAGAAGTGTCCGTACTTTTTAGATGCCAACGTATGTGGATAATATGCACATTTGCGTGTTTGTTTGTGTGCTTATTGATTTGATTAAGACAAGTAATGTAATTTCTGGCGTTTGCACTTCAGAGCTATTCGGTTGTTGTTTAATTTTCATTTCTTGTTTTGCAGGTATATAAGGCCTCAATTCTTTTACAATAACCCACTGCTTTCTTTCGTACAATATGTCATTGGACCATATGCAGATGATCTTGGGAATGTATTGCCTTACGCAGTTGAAGGTGTGGGAGTCCCTGTTGACCCCCTTGCTTTTGCTGGACTCTTAGGTGAGTTTGCCGATTGTATAAAATGAATAAAATGTCTTTTTAACGTATAGCACTATTTTATCACGCAATAGATTAAAAATATAGAAATATGGCCATTTCTTGTTGAGCCGGTGTACCTGTAAATTTGAGGTTTGATGGATCCGACCTTTAGATATGCACCCACACCCAATATCCGTATTTGAGTTCATGTGACATAACTTGTAAGTATCTTTCTCTGTAAAATAAAAAAAATAAAAAGAGGACAAAAGCATCAAGTAGCTAAGACGAGATTCTTGATTGCCTCAATCTCACTTTTCTGCAGGAATGGTGGTGACATCCTTGAACTTGCTGCCATGTGGAAGGCTTGAAGGAGGTCGCATTGCGCAAGCTATGTTTGGTAGAAGCACTGCAACTTTGCTATCTTTTGCGACCTCACTTCTTCTAGGTATCGGAGGCTTGAGTGGTAGTGTCCTCTGTTTGGCATGGGGACTTTTCGCAACCTTCTTCAGAGGTGGAGAGGAAGTACCTGCAAAGGACGAGATCACCCCATTGGGAGACGACAGGTATGCTTGGGGTTTCATACTCGGCCTCATTTGTTTCCTTACTCTTTTCCCGAATGGTGGGGGAATGTTCTCTAGTTCGTTCTTCAGTGATCCATTTTTCAGGGGTGATTTGTAAATAGACCTTTTTCTGTGTAGGCAATACTTTGTGTTCTTATGTATAAAACTTTAAATTTTACTTAGAAAAACATTATAATGATGTGTACTGTATTTCATGTAGCTGGAGCTTGGTGTATCTAGGGGTGGCTAATTTCGTGTGGGTATTTCATTTTTATGATATTTCTTCCATTCCATATTCTAGTTTTGTTGCAAACAAACATAGGCTTTCGAGATTTGATTCTTCGCTTTAGCTGATGTTTTGACGGTGGATTTAGAGTATCTCCAATAAGGATAGTCAAAATAGCTATTTAAAATTTTACTTTATTATTTTAGCTTAGTCATTTTTTTAATATACACTACTATCTACTTTAGTTATCTTCTATTAAAATATTCTTATACTTTAAATACTTTTTTTTTCCATCTAAAAATGAAATAAAAAATAAAAAACTTCTTTCAAATTATTATTTTTTTCATTCTTTTAAATATAATTATATTTTTTTGAAAGTTACATTTTTCTACTGTCGTATTTTTCAAATAGTCATATTTTTCTGTAGTCATTTTTTTTTTAATATAAATTTTATGTATAAAAATTGTATTTTAAAGTTATTTTATGAGAAAGAGCTGAGAGATTTCAAATTAAGAAAACAAATAGAATGGAGAAAGAGTGAGCCATAAAAAGAGAGACAAAAGTCAAAAGTTTGAATTAAAAAAAGATAAAAATAAATAAAAACTAGTGTACATTATCTCGTCTTTCCTGGCGAGATACTGTAACAAAATGTTAGTTTAGCTTCACATTAGTTAGGCTCTTGAAGAAGAAATTTAAGCTTTTGACTTGCTATTGGAGAATTTTTGGTGAAATAGAGAGGTTGCTGGATATGCTCTTATAAACACTTTCCGTGAGTAAACTGTCTTTCTTTCTTGGGTTGAAAACTCTCTTGTGCTTCTTTCTGAGTCTTTCATGTACCATGTAAAATTTTGTTTTAGGTGGAAAAAAGTCAAAGTAGGGTAAATTACACCGGCTTTTTTGAAATTTAAAAAAAAAAAAACAAAAAATATACAGTAAATTTTATGATTTTAATATAATTATACTAACTTTTTTTTTTAGCAATGTTAAAAAATTTAATATAATTACTTTTTTTTTTAGCAATGTTAAAAAATTTAATATAATTATATTAATTTTTTTAATAACATTAAACGAGAGCAAAATTAGTGCAGATAGTATGAATACATGAATATATATAAGGGAAAATATACATTTTAATATAAAAAAATAATAACACTATGTTTTCATTCATACAATTAACGAATTTTTAATAAAAATAAGATTAGGTGTTGTTTGGGAAGTGGGTTGGCTTTTTGGCTTTTTAGTTTTTTTGACTATTTTAGCCTGGGCTAAAAAGTTTGGTTTGGGAAGGATTTTTTGACTTTTTGGCTTTTTTAACTTTTTTTGTGGGAGAAGAGTGTAATGATTATGGGTTGAATGTGATGTTTTGTTTGTTGTGGCTAAAATAACATATTTTGTCTTTTATGGTTAAAATAGCCAAAAAAAACTTCCAACCCACCTTTCCAAACGGTGCCTAAGAGTTATATGAATTAAAATTTTGAAAAAGGTCAAATAATTATTGTAATTTTTGTGAAATGCCATGGGTGTCAATGTAATTCATCAAAAAACCAATTATTTCCCCGCTGTGTGCAATATTTGAAATTTTGAAGCTTTCATGAAGAGTTCTCTGTACAAGGGTTTGTTAAAAACTTGACAATCAAGTGGCTACTTTAAATCCAGATCCAAAAAAAAAAAAAAAAGTGCACCTTTAAGAAAATTAAGACCCTGCTTGGTTTTTTTTTTTAGAAAAAAAATAGAAACTAATTTGATAAAAATAAATGAGAAATTTATTTATAAATCTCATTTAGACGACTTATAGTCCAATAACTTCACAAAGTATTCATGTGTTCCATCTAATTTCATACATTAGAACTTTGGAAAAAAAATTTTAAGGTCCCTAATAATAGTAATTTAAAGGATAGAGGATACCAAAAAGAGAGGTGATGCATCAGGTCCCTCAACTATATTGCGCGCATTTTTAATTATTTTATGGATCAAAATACCCTTCACAAATCAATACAGAAACTAAACTGGATTCTAACGACTGAGTTCCATTCCAAACATCCAACCATCTTCACGAGCAAGAGAATAGCATAATTAGGGTTTCAATATCATCATCATCATCGACATTAGAGTTTCATTATCTTCTGTAAAAATCTTTCACATTCCTTTCTCACAAATTTCACTAACCCCGTTTTCACTATTCATCGTCATCTCAGTTCATCTTTGTCACATTGCATCTTCATCTCAGGGCATATCAGTTCGTAATCAACATTTCATCCTAACTCTGGTAAGTTTTTCTACAATTCAACGAGTTTTTCTCTGAAAACACAGTTAATTGCATTTTATATTAACCTTCCATTAATTAGGGTTTCAATTTCGTAATAAAAAGCTACATGAATTTGAAAAAAAGTTATTTCTCTGTGTTTTGAACTTATTTTTGAACATGTTTGTGTGATTTTATCTATAAATTTCTTTGGCATTTGAATTTCTCTGGTATTTGCTTGATGTATGTTTCTTCTTTGAATTTTCTCTGGCATGTTTATTTTGAAAAAAGTTATTTCTCTGTGTTTTGATCTTATTCTTGAACATGTTTGTGTGATTTTGTCTATTTTTCTTTGGAATGTTTAATTTTCTCAGGCATTTCATTTTATGTACCTACTAAATTTATGTTTCTTTTTTGAATTTTCTCTGGCTATATTTTACATCTATATGTAATATTACTCTCTTGTCTATGTCTAAGTTTCTCTGGTATTTATAATTTTCTCTGGCCACATCATTTTTTACCCTTGTGTGTCTCTATCATGTTTAATTTTATCTGGTTATGTATGTAAATTTCTCTGGCATTTTAATATTACGGACTGAAAATTTTCTCCAGAATGTGTAATTTTTTTCTAGCATTTTCATTTTCTGTGCTTGCTAGGTTTATGTTTCTTTCTTGAATTTTCTTTGGCTATATTTTACATCTATATGTAATTTGTAACAATTTTTGAAAATTTCTCTGTCATGTTTATGTTGCTTTGGTTATTTTCTCTGGGAATGAAAATTAGTTGTGGCCACATGTATTTCACACGAAAACACCTCTATTGTTAGTGTCTAAGTTTCTCTGGAATTTATAATTTTCTCTGGCCACATTAGTTTTCTCCCTTGTGTCTGTTTGCCATGTTCAATTTTCTCTGGTTGTGTCTGTAAATTTATCTGACATTTTAATATTATGTGGCTTGCTAGATTTATGTTTCTTTTTTGCAAATTTCTCTGGTATGTTTATTCGATTCAATTCTTGGTTTCAATATTGTGCAATTTTCTGTGGCATGTTTACGTTGCTTTGTTTATTTTATCCTGCTAATTGTGGTATGGAAATTTTCTCTAACTTGTCATGTTTACTTTTCTCTGTCATATTCATTTTTTGTGCTTGCTAGATATATGTTTTTTTTTTTGAATTTTCTCTGGCTATATTTTACTTCTATATGTAATTTAACAATTATTGAAAATTTCGCTAGCATGTTTATATTGCTTTGTTGATTTTCTCAAGGAATAGAAATTTTCTGTGGTTAGATGTATTTCACAAGAAAACAATTAGTACTCTGACATTTAATTTTCAGTGTCTAACTTTCTCTGACATTTATAATTTTCCTTGGCCACCTTAGTTTTCTCCCTTATGCGTAATTTTCTCTAACATGTTCAATTTTCTCTAGCATGTTCAATTTTCTCTAGGATTTAATGTTGACATCTTTATGTTTTCATCATTGTCTATAAATGGTAAAACGTAAAAGCAACAAAACACCAAAAACACCGAGCAAGAAATAGAAACTCTCTTAGTTTTCTTATGATCTTAGATAAAAAAGCAGCAAAACACCACAAACTCCTCACCAAAACACACAAGTCCAAGGTAATGAAGCAACTAAAATCAAGATGAATACCCCAACTTCAAAAGACTCCAGCTCAAGGGGGAAAAAACTTGTCAAGCTCCAAAGAAAGAGAGCTCATTACAACATTCAATATCGATCCAACCTCTCATTTGTTGTCTCATTTTTTCAAACACTTAAATTCAATTCAAACCAACTTGAAGAGCTTCAAAAGACCCCATTCTGGTATTTGATCCAAGCTCTAACCACTGGAAGGATGTGTAACGCCCTCAAAAAAAGCATTAAACCCATCAATAGAGACATGCATTTATATACAAAAGATCTACATTCTTCAATTCATCAGAGTACTTCATTACAAAAGTATTACATGTTAACAACAAAAGCAAATGCCCTACGGGCTTACAGCTTTCCAAGTTAACACTTGGTTACAAAAGAGAGTACTAACTCAATTACATATTAAGCCCTTGGCTTGAATTTACATGTAATACATCAAAGAAATAAGACAACAAAAGTGTGTCCGCCTCTAGCCTCCCAAGCTATGTCCTTGGAGGTGGCATGCTACCTGTACCTGAAAATGATATTCCCATATAGGGTGAGTCACAGCCCAGCAGAGATATACTAAACCAACTATGAACAATGACTAAAAGATTAGCAATTGATAGATGGCCAACACTAATACATCCACATATATCACGTCACAATTTCATAACATACGAGTCTATGTCACTTTTCATTCTCCATCTTTATTTAATAGATAAGCATATTAGCTATATCAACACATCAACAGATAAACATATTACGCATCAACAGATAAGCATATTAGCTGTATCCACACTTCACTAGACAAGCATATGAGCTGTATCTACACTTCTCAAAGATAAGCCTATGAGCTGTATCTTCACTTCTCTAGACAAGCATATGAGCTGTATCTACGGAGTTCATCCCCCATCTCCTCCCAACACTATCCGGTTTAGAGGTACATCTCCCATTTTTTCCTAAATCGCGGAGTACATCCCACATCTCCTCATCTACACACAATGCATATAAATACAAGGGTTCTATACACAATCAATCAATACATAAAATTAATGTATTCTATCCACCGTCATACTCTATGACACATTCAATCGATTAGTTTTAATTTGCCTAATCATCATGCATTGTCTACAACAATCAAGACTATCCTCCACCGATAGCCCAAAGTAGTTATTTCTAAACAGAAAATAAATGCACAAAAATA